GATATTTTGATGACAACAACGGTTATGGAAAACTCGTAGACAACGAGTCCAAACCAGTTTTCTCAATACATCCTTTTTTTGACAAACAAATCAGTGGTCATTCCACTTCAAACACTGATCGTGGCAGTGTTGGATCCAGTGTTGTATCACCTATTCATTATTTCCACTTTGCTAGCAGTTCTGTTAGGTGGAAGTGTGGAACATAGAATGTTATGTCTACTGCGAGCCACCAAATAACAAACCACGAAATGAGGAACTATGCGGGTTAATAAATAACACCATACATTCAGTGAAGTGGGGCTGTGAGGGTAATGTTATTATCACGGTAAAAAATATATCTATCGGTATGGTGTTAATGATTTATAACGTACCCATTCCTATGGACATACCGGCCAGGTAGGAGAGAAGTTTCTTTAGGATAAAACAAACTTTATCCCAAAATAATCAGCAATTGGGGATGAGGAAGAGACCAGCAGCAAAAAAGAACCGCTGGGACGATGGCAAGGATTCGTCCGGTTCGCTCAATCTTTTTTCTAACAGCAGAAAATAACGCAGAGCAGAAGTAAGAATTGGAATAGTGAAGTGGTAGAAATGAGGAGTCTAGAACTGTGGAAAGTGGATTACTGAACAGCACTTCGTGCCATAGCGAAAAAGAAATTAGAGGAAACGTGACTATATAAAAAAAAAGGTATCAACAAAAATGACTGTGTGGAAAAAACGTGGATGAGGTGAATGTCGAAAAACATGAGAAACTGCCAGCTGCAACAACGGCAGCAAAGAAAGCGAGGATGAAAAAAACAACTCATTAGAACATCAAAAGTTAAGGTTTAAATTAAAATTACAATCAGAGGCCTTCCTTAGTGCTTCTTTTAATGATAAAAATATTAAAAACTTTAGTAGTAAAACTTAATAAAAACTTTAGTAATAAAATTTTAGTAGTAAATAAAAACTTAAAACTTAGTAGAAAAGTTTAGTAGTAGTAAAACCTAGTAAATAAAAACTCTAGTAGTAAAACTTAAGATTTAATTAAAAAAAAAAAACTCTAGTAGTAAAACTTAATATCTATTTTAAACCTTAACTTTAGTAGAAATAAAAACTTTAGCAGTAAAACTTCAGTAAAAACTTTAGTAGTAAAACTTAAGATTTAAAATGTTAGTAAAAACTTTCTTCGACTGTTAGGCATTCTTCTTTCAGTCAAATACCGACTAACCCAATAGAAAATCCTCCCCTCCCCCCTTCCTCCCCCCAAACTTCATATCTGCAGTTCTGATGCGGATAATGTTGATGGTACCATTTCTATTAGCCTTTTCAATTATTACTTTGAAGGCTGCGTGTCTTACTTCACTGGTCAGCATAAAACTGGTTGCTGGCGCGGATTACAGGCACTGAGATATCCTCTAAATCTCAGGCATCCGGGACTCGTTGCGTGATCCGATGCCCATCCTCATTTAGAACTACGGGAAGCTATTGCACCTGTTCTTCACCTGACTTTCCACTTTGCTTAAAGTAATTCGATAAAAAAAAGCATTCTTAGCAAGCTCCGTCTAACTCTCATAACGAATTCTTACTAAACTACTGGTATATTCCCACATAAAGCAATGTTGTACGTAATGCCCGATCTCCTGAGGCAAATCAAGAGGTTATGTGCTTTTAAGGTCAACAATATCCACAATAACAAGAACAATCATACGCACATATACACACAGACACACACGCACACACACACATATCATATATGCGTACATATACACATATACATACACACATTTAATTACACATACAGAAATGACCTTGCTCTAATGCGTTTTTAAATTGCTATGCGAAAAAAAGCGCACTGGAACGTTAAAAAAAAAACCAAAAAAAAAAAAAAAAATGAGGGGAAAAAAAACTTTGAGATTACTGCAAAAAAAAAAAGAATAAAAACAAAATTGTACATGGAAAAAGTGATTTGATCACTTGAGATTTTTTACAAAAAAAAAAGAAACTGTAAAAAAGAAATGCAAACACGAGTCCTGTTGGCCAAATTTGCATGCCTGTTCCTGGATGTTCAACATTCGCTTCGAACACACTGCATGTGACATTGAGAGGTGAGAGATAAAAGCACGGTGCTAATGATGAGAGATGCTGCCGAACCATTATAATTGTTGATGATTATTATTAATTCATAATACCATTAAGATTTCGTCGCGCCTAAAATCAGCAGAACTGAAGCAAACGTAAAAATTTCGTCCAGCAGTTATTACAGTTTTAAATTCAATTTCTTGCACTTCTTTGGGATTTCAAATAACTACTTTAATAATAATAACAATAATAACAATAATAACAACAATAATAATAACAACAATAATAACAACAATAATAATAACAATAATGACAACAATAATAATAATGGCAATGATAATAGCAAAAATAATGTGACAATAATAATGATAATACAAGAAAAACGCAACATTTTATCGTTATAAAACTGTAATAAATTTTCTATTATCGTGCAATTTTGCAAAAATATAATTATAAATAATTTTAACTGCTCCTAAAATTATGTTTCTTACAAAACACTTTCTAATTATGAGCGCTCCACTAAATCTGTTGCTACTTACTTTAACATTTCCAATAAGTGCAGCGGAATTCGGTGGCAAATCCTTGGCAGCATCTTTGAATGTAAGCATTTCGCTTGGTTTTATTGCCCGTGGCCTTAGTTCATAGGCCGATGGTGGTAAGTGCACTTTAACTTCTGAGCATGGATATGGCTTACTGCGTACACTGAAATGTATTTATATTTACTAGGAATAACAAAGAACACATTGTGATGTAGGTGAAGTGGAAAAGAACGTAATTAAACTTTGACATTTGTTGTCTAGAATATCTCTTATGCCCAAAATTGATTTCTTTTCTACTTTTCGGCCCGCTTTTACAACAGTGTACTTTAAAGTTACTTTAGGCTCCAACTTACTTTAGTTTTAGCTTTAGACCCGGACTTTTGCAGCACTGGTGCCTGTGTCGTTTGGGTTGGGAAGGGGAGGAAAGACCTTGTCTTCCTTCCTCTCCCTTCCCTTCCCCCTATCCCTCCCAAATGAACGAATATAAGAAAAGCAAGTGTCCGATGATGGGATCAAGGGTAACGGGCGCCGGAAAAAGTCCTTTTCTTACATCATACCGCATTGATAAAGCAAAATATAGCTTTTTTGACAATTTTTGATGGAAATAAAAACTTACGTTGCAAGCCTTCTGGCAGATTTGCTCTTTGTTAGCGGCCTAGACGTGTTCGCCGCAGTTGCGGATACCGTAACTCGCGAGATCTAAAAATTACTGATTACAATAGAATACTTACAGGATTGCCAAAAACTCTATTTCTCAAGGATTCATTATTACCACATCATAGGCACCAAGCCCAAAAACTATAGCAGCCTTTAAATAACGAAGTTCATCAGCCCGAAACGGCAAGGTACCTCAGTGCGCTCCGACAGTAACAACACTTTGAGGATGAGGTAGTAACATTCAATACATACCGTTCAAAATCTCCTAAACGGGCAAAATTTTGCCACAGTGTTTTTGACCAGAGAACCATTAAGCCCGCAATTATTTCAGAAGACGAAAGGAACGTCGGAATCGCCAGAACAGCGACCCCCCAAATAAGTACTGGGCAAGAAAATCATGAAATAAAGGAAGGGAATGCCATGATTGTCTGCTACACCACTGGTTTATCAGTGGTAAAAAAGAAAACCCTCCGTACTCGTTTCCAGAAGGTGGAGATACTCGGCTAGGCAAATCCAGGGCGGCTTCCTGGCGACGAGTGGAGCTTCTATCGGCGACGACCGAGGAGAGGGGGAGGAGATAAGAGTCCTGGGGAAGGGGATGACCGGAAGCGCGAAAGAGAGTTTCCTTCAGTTTTAGCAGTGCTACCGGTGCCACTGGGGCTTCCTCCTCCCTTGGATCCGCCAGCGATACTCGGATGTATCACGACAAAAGCCTCCTGCTGGTAAACTATAGATGGTTCTCTTATTCGAAGTTTGCTTATAAGCAAACTAAGGGAGCGTTCGACTTCTTGGCACGCGCCAGTACCAATTTACTATCGAAACGAATGAACGAATCGTAGAGGGACTGGTTTTTACAATGGCGGGGTCAAACCCTTGCACAACTCGAACCCTTTCTTGTACGACAGCATCGATATTTGCCACTAGTATTTTAAAATTGAAATTTTGGTGGTTTATAATTATAAAGGATTGTGAAAAAAGACAGAAATGGGGATGTTAACAAGTTAAAATCTGAATGGGAATGTTTCGGTACACACCCGTAGGTTTGATTTTACAAAAAAAAAAAAAAAACACCGTTTACAAGTTAAAGTGTAAAACCGAACCGGAAACGGTTTGCTGAGGCTGCCATTTTGGTGTTTATTATGTACGAGACGTTTTGCAGTAATGATACTTGCCACTGAGAGAGGTTTGATTGGAGTTGTTGGTGATGTGAATTTGGCATGAGGCGCCGCAGCATGCTGTGCTTTTACTTTCTGTACCAGCAAATGGTCACCCTGGCTTTGCTTCTCCTGTTCCTCCGCTTTTCTCCTCTGCACCTGCAACGATATGGCGTAAAACCACGTAAAGCATTTAGTTAAAAAGCAATAATAATCAGGAGCCACATAGTAAAGTTGCAGAAATTTTAAAGACACAAACAATGAATATCGCTGGCTAGGAGACTGGAAGAGGAGGGGGGCTGAAATCGCGTCCATGTGTTAACATATGCAGTTTGTTTGGCGCTATTGGCCTACTGTGCAGAGGAACACAGTCGAGTTTTGATAATTAATGAAAACACTGGAAACGTCATTTAGATCCCCCAAATAAGCAAGCCTGTATATGCTGTAACCAGGTAATCTGTCTGTATTCCATCCCTGAGCTGTAAGCACAGACGCCAGAACCGGTACGAAATGGGGTAGGAATTATCAGTAAACCAAGAATATCAAAACCGTTCGGGCATCAATATGGGTATTCCACTTAAGTTACCGAAATGCTCCGAAATGCCAGGTGCAAAAGTAACAAGTGCCAAAAGCAACCACTCAATGGTCGTCAGTGGGTCCCTCTTTCGTGGGCTGCTTAGAAGAAAGCTGAGAGCGAGACAGCAGTTGAATTCTAAATCAAATTTCAACACATCATATGCCATTTCCGATCTGAGTAGTTTTTTCGTCTACACATAATTGCACTTTTGTTACATTTCTCCATGTGCGGTAAACTGTAATTCCTTCAAAAATGTAAAAAATCTGGACCTCGTTCATGATTCTTGGCGATGTTCGTAATGTTGTTGGTCGTGGTGGAAGTACCAGTTGTTGTGAATCTGTTTCAGCAATACGAATTTCATTCACCTGCAATACATCATTGTTCTGGATAACTATAAAAATTAACGTATTTCAGAATGTAGTACATCAGCATACTGTGGCGCACAGAAAAATCTATCACACCTTCGTAGCTAGATGCGTTAGATGTGTTGTGGCAGTTTTGGAGCCCATTGCCCAGCACCACGGTTGTTTTTCGATCAAAAATTCCTGCTGTGGTCCAATCACTGATCCCGGCCTACAGATCCGCAGCCATGCCATCGCTTCTGCTGCTGTAATACCAAATTCCTTCATCAGCCAACACGCTATCAATGTGCCGGTTCGGCCAAGTCCTGCCTGAAATTATCCAAAATTATTGAATCAAAAATCATTCAAATGCTGCAAAGTAGAATGCATGTATAGGGTATCTTCAAGCATAAGCAAATTTCTCCTCAACAGGGATTATTAAAGTATAAAATCATTGGTGACGCGCACCAGGCGGGTTCGTGCGATCATATTTTGGCAATATTTTGTGCTGTAGTAAGATCGCTTAAAATCACATTCGCTAGAATTTGCGACATGCTGGTCCTCAAAGTTCAGGAAGTTAACTGTGCAACTACATGATACTTAGACAGGGAAAATATCCTCAAAATTTCAGCTTTCCAGCTTTTCTTGCTCCCGAGTTAGCGATTTTTCCGCCAAAAGCTTCATGCGCTCGTACGCAGGGCCCAGACGTGAGCTCCATAGCCCCTCCTCTGCCTATGCCTGTTTGTTAACAATATCAAGGAAAAACATAAGGAATAATACAAAAAAAAAAAAAAAACACCTTGCAATGC